ACCGATGGCTGGGGTATTCATCTCACATACCATTCTGTAGATCGTTGAATGCGTACCCTATCATGCAAGATAAGACTCATCTACAGATACAGTAAAGATATTTACATGATATGTCAGTGTAAGTATTAGGTAAGGGTATATAGAGGGAAGTGATGATCTCATCATTAGCCTTGTGCCGCTATGATGATCTGAAAGTTGTTGGGATCTCTCCCTTGAGACTTTTGTACCGGTTCATACCGTACGTTCGACACATGAACAGAAGTATATAATACTTACAGTGTATCAGGTACTTCTGACGCATTTATGAAGTATCAACATTGAATTATTAATGCCAAGTCAATAAATGGATATTCCCGCCAACGAAGATAACACTCTGATACTTCAAGGTCTAATTCCAACCCCGAGATTGCAACGGTTCTTACTTGAGCCAGGTAAACAAGAAGCTCATCATCAGCACAGGCACCAAGGTTGCGAAGGCCACCAAACCCCACAGGCGAAGTCGCTTCCGAAAACCTCTGGCGAACTCCTCTGTTGTTATCTCGGGAAACAGCTGCTTTGAGTGCTGAGAAAGAAGAGAGGCAATGAACCTTCGAAGGACATAAATTCACCAAAAAGTACTCATCTCTAGTGAATACCTACGATTTCGGGGACCCGGAGGAGACTAACGGAAAGTCACGAATTTAACTAGGTTATACATCGGGCCTCCATTCCCTCGCTGGCGAATCGAATTAGGCTGTTACAATTTTCAATAACTACGGTAATTAAGCGATAAAATTAGTGACTCTGGTAATTCCCGCTTCGGTTTGGTCTCCTTCTCAAAAATTGTCCGTCCCTCATGGAGGATAAAAACGGGGGAAAATCCGATGGAATAATATCAGCAAAAAACGAACAGCATCGTCCCACCTCGTCCAACAGGCACGGCAAGATCAAAGTCTTTATTATCCAATTCACAGCATTGGATGCAACGAAATGAGAGGACAGAGGAACCCACGCCGGAATCTAAAAAGCAACAAAGAAGATACAACCCAAACGGTGATCCTCAAATCCTTCCGGTCCTTGAAAGTCAAAGCCACGTGGCAGTAACACAGGATAAGCGTCAGCGGGAGGACAATGCGACGGTGATCAGAACACGCCCCAACCGAGTGAATATTTGCCCCACCTAATATACTCGCACTGTCTACATAACACAGTCGAGCTGCGCTCATACTAGCTTCGCATCACCAACTCTTATTCTCTCAACTACTCTACTTCCTATCTGCAGTAGAGCCCAATCCACTTACGACTATACCCACGACAAGAAGAAAGTACATACTCTCACAAACCGTCAATTCAGTATTCGATCTTCACGAGAATATTTTCCGCATTCACCCCACCTATTACCATCTGGAGGAGCGGTGACTCCTCACCCTGCAGGAGCAACGCGTATGATGAATCCCTCATGAGAAGGTTCGTCATCTCAACCATCGATATACGTGCCTGTCAACTTCCATAGTCGAGGCACGCCACTCGGCAAGAACGCGAGCGTCGTTCGGACTTCAACGCAGTGATTTTCGGAATATCAACATTACATTAGGACTCGAAATTAAAAAATAATATTTTCAAATTCAAAAAATTTTTTTCTTCCTCCAGAGATACTACACAAAATTTTCATCCACACCCTCAAATGCGGCAAGTTATCCAACACCATCTCACCTTCACTTCTAGCGAACCCGAACCTCGATTTGCTGGCGATGAGCCCAAAAAGTTAAGGAATTTCAGTTGTTTTTCGAAAAAAATTCCGGAAAATTTGGCGCAGTGACTGTGACCTCCCACTACCTGCAACATACACCAGGTTTGCTGTCCCGTCCAAGATTCATCCAGTGCAGCGTCCTCGGGCCGACTCGGGCCATTCTGAAGTCGCACGAGTCTTCTGGCGACCTCCGCCCAAGATACTGCTTGTAGCGGAGAGAAAGATACTTTGTCCGAATCCAAGGGTATCTAAATGCGCACAGCGAAGAAAATCGTGATCACATAATGGACGAAAAGACCTTTTGAGACGGAGTGGCTGAGCTCCCTTGGCGAAGATATTTCAGAGAAGAAAACATAAGTTCATTAATCACCGAAGCATGCAGAGCACTAGTGAGTTCCACAGCTGGAATCCCCGACCCGGCATTTTTCGTAAGAAAGATCGTTGCGGAAAAATGCAACATGCAACGAAAAAAAGGCCCCTACGCCAATTGTTGGGGCGAGAATGGCGGTTCAACTATCAAAGCACCGAGTAGGTTTCTAGGCGCTGCCTCAAACCCCAGTCGAGGCCCACACTGCGGCATAGTGACCTCACTATGTCGCATTTCTTTCGTACACTGTATCTTAAGAGGGAAGTTTCGTCCTATTATTTTGCATGTCGAAGGGCGAAGGGCTGATCATTGCAACCCGCTCTCCCATCACGCTACAACACTGTCCCCCACTACTACTCCCAGATAATCCTGGTAGTAGAATGCCGCGTCTCTAGCCTCTCGAATGGTCATGAACGCTCCCGCTGCGGCCAGGCCCCAGAAGGCAAGGGTCACTAGGAATGATCTGAGAACAGACAAGGGAAGATCCAATTCCGCGTGGAGAGTGTCCGTGTCAATTCTAGCCGTACTCAACCTCTCCGAAACGAATTTAGTTCCATCTTCGAGCATTCCCGAGCCCTTTTGAACCCGACCCTGCCGAACCCTATCGGAATATACGAGGATCTCAGAATTCCTGTGACATCACGGAAACGCCCCTCGCCTCCTTGAAGACGACAGCCTCGTTTGCCTCAACTCCCAGTGGGTGGCCTCAACCGTCAATTCTCAACTCCCAGTGGGTGTCCTCAACCGTCAATTATTACATGAGAAAGACGAACCTGACGAAGCTCAGGCCAGCCAGTGGGTTGCTTTTGAAGAGATGAGCGTTGGCACAAGTCTCAGGGCTGGTACCTACGTGTACACCTCACTAAGGGATGACGTCAAAATAGCGAAAGCACGACTCGATCCCACGACCAACCGATGATGAGTCGAGAAGGTTAACCAATCCGCCAAATTGACACTGACGAAGCCAAGCAGAGTGACACCCTTCTCGCCATACTACATGATAACAGCGAGCTCCAATCCACCAGGAAGGTGAGCGTGAAAGCGAAGGTGATGGTGAACAGGACCGCAAGCAGGTTACCTCTGAGAAACCACATAAAAAACAAACACTGGCGGGGCCGCTCGCCCGACTCCGAAACGGCGCCCTCTAACACTTTCAGGCGCTACGAAAATGACCATGGCGTTTAAGTGCCCACGACGAACTGAGAGTGGAACCCGTCTATTACATGGTGTAACCTAAGATACCATAGAAGCCACCACCACGATAGTAATTATACACGGCGGCCAAGAACTTCTCGATGTCGCTCACCTGAACAGCGACAACCGGCAAGATACGTATGCAAAAGAAGTCTCAATTCTAGCACACGATGGTGTAACTCAATACCAACTTTTCCGGAACTTCTAGTAATCTAAACCCAACCTCCCCTCCAAGTCCCCGCAACCGTCTGACCGTCTTTGACAGCCAAAGTTTCACTCTCATTGAAAGTAAGCATATTGGCATTGGACAATGTACTAAAATCCGCATTTTTCTCAATACTCTTTCGCCGACGCTCCTGCGGATCAACTACCATCACGACCACTGCTACTCAATCAATCAGTAAGCGTTTATACCCATCAGGGGGCGTGTGGTCCTCGAAAAACCGTTTTGTTCCCATGCGCTCTGTTCATAGCATCGCTCCGATCGCGCTTTCATACACCACCACGAACCGCTTCCTTAACCAACTTTGAACCATTGAGAAGTCTTGCTACTACTACCCTTTGAAAGGCTCCCCCGAGCCCCGTCGAATCCGAGCTCTGCCACAGCCGTCTGGTGGGGTTGTCAATACTACTGTCCATGGTACCCCCCGTGTATAAGTCGGAGGAGGATACCGAGCTGCTAGCTGATACCGATCCGTCACCCGACGGCATCATGTCGAACATCGGAGCGTAGGGACGGTTAACGGGCTCGAAGGGCACCTCTGACATTCTGACCAAGTACTGCGAGATTCAGAACGGGTCTGGTGAATCACCGTCTCGCAGTAGCTGACAGACTGAAGTAACGCAACATTTCAAGGCTGGTAAAGCATCAACGGGAAGGAATTGGTGTTGGCCCGCCAACTGGCTCTGAACTTTGGGATTGACTTTTCAAAGGAGTCCCGGGGTCGGTCCTGAGCCTTGGAGCAGCTCCAACTGAACACTCTCATTGATCTTGTCATAGAAGAGGTCAATGTCTTCCCGGATATAGCATCTATGAGCGTCAACTGTGTCTTAATAGAAGCACGCGGATCGGTATCAGATCATGATGTTCATCGCCGAGAGCTCGTGGAGAAGGCGAAAACGTCCTCAACGTCTGGTGACATCACCATTGCCAACCCTTAGGGCGACGCTTGACAAGGCCGCCCACTATGGCAACGGCAGGAGGGTGTAGAGAGGAGCATCCTGGAGAGGATTTTTGGCCTCTCCGGCAACACGAAGAGGCCAAAAGATGCCGTACACACATTCTCCCAGCAGTATAAAAGATGGAGGGCAAGACTATACAGATTACGAGTCTGAAGAGGATGACTGTCATCGAAACTCGTATCCATTCTCAGTGGAAATCGTTGATAGAGCCAAGACTTCGGGAGTGTTTGATAAACCAATTCTGAGATCTTGATCTCATTTCAGCATCGTAAAACTCAACTACAGAGCCGATGTATGGTTCAGTTTCAGAACTAGCTCAGTCGCACCGTAAGAGAAATTTCAATATTTCAATTTCGGTGCGACAGCGCATTTAAATCTCGCTCGCCCAAAATTGTCCCCGATGATTGGAAATTTTGAAGTCGAGCAGATATTATTCGCTGTTACTCGCGGAGGTCCAGGTCCATCTGTCGCAGAGTGTCTCAGTCGGAGGCTCCGACTCGGAGCGAGTGGGAGGTTACGCTACCGAGGGAGTGTTTGCCCGAGTGGTTAAGGGGGCTAACTGAAGATTTATTATACCATGTCTGCGTGGGTTCGAACCCCACAGCACTCAATGTCAGATAATTTTGAACCGATTTGTAGCCTGCCTCGGAAGGGTGGCCCCTTACGACGAAGCCTTGCCCTTGAAAATGACTCGTTGAACTAGCGGTTAAAGTTACTAAGAGCATAAACTTCATCGCACTCCGATACGCCGTGTAGGGCCGGCAGGGAGCGGATACTGAAATCGTGAATCGGGATCTGAAGCGGACCTTGAACTTGCGGAAACTGGAGCCATTATGACTCCCATTCCTTTAAGTTCGGATAATTCGGGGTTTAGGATGGATATAGAATAGAATGCCTAGAACGGTTTAGAATGGGTTCAAAATGGATGGTTCTTTGAAGTCGTCAAGCAGCCTACCTTCGGCCTCAGCTAGTTCAACTAGTTGTGCATCACGAGTAGCATCAACTAGTCTAGTCGTGAAGACCCTTACCAGTGCCACCCCTAGGCTCCAAGTATTTTATGAAACCTAGATAGCAACTACGTTTCGCAGGATCCTCATAGATAACCATCATGTATCAACTCCGCTGATAGTGTGGCAGTATTATCACTGATGATACTGCCGCACTGATAAGTTATCAGTCTCACGAAAAAAATCGCACCGGACTCGAGGACGATGAGGGAATCCACCTCATAGGGTTGCCGTTCGACTAAGAGTATGGCAGCATCAGACGACGCCAGTAAAACTAAGGGCACTCTGGGCGGGTCTGGCAACAGGGACTTCCTGCCAGGGGTTAGCAAGTGAGTTCACTTCCTAGTTTCCACGCGGAGCGATTACCGACAACGTCAGGAAATTTAACCCCATCAGAGCTCAGACGTTGTGGAAGGCTATTGTAGAGAAAGAACGGAGACACCTCGAGAACCTGAGAACTTCGGTGAGTAATATCATTATTAAGGACGGCACAAATCTCAAACGCCTCAGACCACGGGGATGAGGCTAGAGCCATTGCGACAAATCGATCATGGACATGCGGATGATGTGGATGTTGTTAAGTAAGGCTCCAATTCAATCATGCTCAATCGCGATTTCATTAGACTGCTGACAAAGAATTTGGTAACACTGCTCGCTTTGATTCGCTCAAGTTTACCATGATGTGAATTCCACAGGCCAGGCTGGGATTGCCAGTGACTTATGTATCAATCACCTCGGATCGACGGGTCTGTGTCCATGATGGACAGTCCATCGGGTAACGCCGTGCGGTCCAACGGTTTGGAACGTGCAGGGATGCATGTTTCGCACTACCACAGGACTTAGCCAGCAGTAATAGAAGCTCGCTCGTGTGAGAGCTCCACAGAACGAAAATATTCGGACGGTCGGAAATTCGGAACCATAATATTCGGACTCCGAGTATGGTGGTTCGGTGCGAAGAGGGCTGCATTTTTTTGAACTCGCACAACGTGCCAACACGGTGATCGGTCTCTGTGTCAACCATTGAGAGCAGCTTTCAGCTCCTAATCTCGAAGTAGTTTTGAGCTGGAAAGCTAGGTACGTCACGTACACGCAGATGGTCCCAACTGGCTCTGTCGTCGTTCCGGAGGCAACCATTCAGAAGCGACAAGTAAGCCACAGCGATTGACCGCTGATTCTCAAGTGAATTCGGGCTATCGCAGCTTTATCAGCCGTAACTGCTTATCGTCTCCAGAAACCGCCTGGAAAGTTCGCGCTGCCGTCGCGATACGAAGGCTTCACCGAGGCGGAAATTGCTGCCCGCAAAGAGAGAGAGTGAGTGAATTCATCAGTGGAGAAACCAGGGAACTTTGTCACGGTTTCCTCAGTGACTTCGAAGAGACCTATCGATTTTTCTCACGCCCGTATAACGTCACCCAACACAAATGCGAGCATTTCAACGGCTACCGGATGAACAAGTTATTCGACGTAAGCTGGAGCTCGCATGACTAGCAGCTTCCCTGGTCGTCCGGATGACTATCAGATTACCGGCATCCATTCTAATCGGCACCATCTTCTGCAGTTCGCAAATAAACCTTCAAGCACCGTCGCTCACCACCGTTGTCGGCTCAGATGCGCAATAAAACAGATCCAATTCTTTCCACATCGGATGAACTCCGTGGTCGTAAAGAGGAGTACGTGCGGAAGATGGAGAGAGATCTTAGTTATGACAGCGTCTTGAAAGAGGTAAATCTCTCGATTTGCTAGTGAAAAAATCTTCTCATCACCCGAAGCAATTGATAAATTTTATTGTTGTTTCCCGGAAAAGCTTTCTCCGAACTGTCCATCCTGTCAGGGTGGCCCAGCGGGAAAGAATGCTATTCTTTCTTATCGGGAATTCCGGGAATTCCCGGGAAGAAAGAATACTCAATATTCCCTGGAAGAATAGTCGTGATTCTTTCTGGGTATTTAGGTGCTGCATTTCGATGTTTCCGCTTGACGGAGCAGCCAGGAAAGGCGGATATGCGCGCGAAAAAAATTCGGGGGGCTTGCTTTAATGGGGAAGAATGCAATCTTTCTTCCCGGCTATATACCCGGGAATTCCCGGAAATTCCCGGGAAGAGGAAGAATGATCCATTCTTCCCAGTTTTGGGCCACCCTGCATCCTGTAACTTGACCCCACCATGGACAAAACAAAGCCTACATTCGGTTCTTCCACTTGAAAAGACATCTTGTTTTCGTCTTTTCCAAGTCAACTTGACTTAGTCAAGCTTCGAGCTCAGGCCGTGGAAGCCTATGGCTGTGGAAGGCAGCGGGCGGTGGCTTGTGGGAACCAAGCTCAGTTCGGTGGATATGTCTGGCCACGATACAAGTATTTCGCTGGTGGGAAGAACTACGGAACAACAGGTGGGAGCATCATGCAACAGTCAACGTCAAGTTGTATCCGCGGTCTCACCCCTTGAAGCATCACCGTCGGTGATTCACCGAGAAAACTCAGAAGTTTGACGTTTTTTCGACTGCGTCACATTAATCGCCACAAGTGCTTCGAAGGCCGAGGACTCGATAAGAACAGTTCTTACAGTTACTCTCATCAATTCATTTCAGGTTCAGTTTCCCGCTTCCCAGTGGTGAATTCTGAAGAGCACACTCACGGCTCACGTGAGAAGTTCAAAAGGAAGATCTCAGTTGACGAGGAGAAGAGCGGAGACCCTGCGGTAGGCAAACGTGACGGCGGACGTCGCAACGCTCCCATTACAAAAATATCGTAGCGGGAGTCAGCATGAGTGAATTTTTCCCAGCCATCCGTAACGCCGCGTTACTAACGCGGAATTCAGTCGATTGATCAGTCTTCTTGACCGCAGTGCGAAATGCCTTTTCACCGTTATAACGCGAAGCTCTACGACCACGCCTGCTCCGAGTTGCAAGTTCCGAAAAACTGTTTTTACACTTTCTGCCGGTGAACCTCCACTGGACCAAGCATGAGTTCTCTATCACTACTACGAGCTGTTCGAAGTGTGTTCGAGGACCGAATCGCGGACGGATCAGGTACACACGTTGATTCATCCGAGCGCAATCTTTATAACACGAGCATGAGTGATTCACTAATCACATCAATGATGGGTTATCTTTAGCTGGGGAGTCATGTTATGAAATGAAGTCAATGAGCTACTCGGGGCTGGCACGGCTAACAATGCGAAAACCCTTGCTAATTCACTGCTTCAAATAGTTCTGTTTACAGCTCGCCGAGTACCTTTTAGCAGCACGATCTGACCAGTCCGAAAATAAGCCGAGGAAGGACCGTGCGTCAGTCAGAGGGTCACCCTTGCTTTTTGGCGACGGATTGTAACTCATCTGTATGGATTTGATAGGTGTATCGCTGTATTCAATACATTGTGGTGATACTCTGGGCTCCAGAGTCTGGAGGAGTAGTGACTGAAATTTCTCATTTTGCGAAGAGTCATGCTCATTGGTTTGCCCCCTTTTCAAAAGAAAGAACGACAACTCAACAGGTTTCAGATAAGGAAATCTCGGCCATCGAATGGAAGCCTTTCTGCAAATGAAATAACGGCCATGTACGGCCGAAGACGTGAAGCGTCAGCGAAGTAGGCATGACCGCGCTACAAGGAAGCATAGCAAGCTTCAGCACGAGAGCCCCAGGTTCCATGATGAGCCGTCACGGTCAGGACTGACTACATCACGAGGCATCTTATACTCACGGCGATGAGGTTCCTCGGGCTCTCTCATATAAAGTCGAATAATGCGTAAGTCTCCACCAAGGTGAGAGCAGCAACTGATAACCAGCTCGGTAGAGGAGGGATTTCGTTGGGGTTACTGCCACTCGTCTTCATAGCAATCAAATGGTTAGGGACAGGTGCCGCTGTTCAGAGTCACGACTCCACCATGTAGCTTGACTGCGATGGTGTTCGCTTTCTCGTCATAAGTGAACTCATGCAGATCACCATCATTCACAGCATATGACGGGCAGTTCTGTTCGGCAACATGCAAGAAATCCTCGTACTCCTCCTGACTAGCTGGAGCGATCTCGAAGATGTTGTATGCCTTGGACTGCACTTCCATAGCAACCGAATCAACTCGACGTCCATCGCAAAGGAGCAGCAGAGCCACGTCCTCCGCTGGACGGCTCGGATCGTTGACCCAGTCGCTCTCGACACACACATTGTTTGGGACGACCTGGTTGAAGTATTTTCCGCCCGGTGGAGGCGGCTTCGCCTTCGTGCAGATAACCGCGAGAGCGATCATGACTATGAGGCGGCCCGGTTGAAGCATGGCTCCGAAGAAATCAACAAGTCACTGCCGTGCAGGAACGAATTTAACGCAGTACAGTGACGAGAGACCCTCATTGAGGGTGGGCAGGCATCGAGAAAAAGCTTTGCCGAGTTCGAGAAGGGTTCCGGAGAAAATGAGTGAGTAGAAATGCACGCAACATGCGTGACGCAAGTGCGGGGACGGGAAACGCGCAAAGCCCAGAGGCGCATAAACTGTTCAGCTCTCAGTAGCGGGCCTTGGACCATACGGCATTAATCTAGTAGCCGATAAAGTGTCGGTGACTTACAGTAAGTCCCTTTCAGAGAAAACCTCGCTACCGCACCCTCAGCTACGATTCACC